TCTGATCTGCCTATCCATTGCTTTTAGTTCTGCTTGAGTCCAGTCCACTATTCCAGCTGTGTACCTAATGACTGGGATTGCCCAGGTGTTGATTGCCTTTATGGTATTTCCTCCATTGAGTTTGGATTTTAAGATCTTCTTCACTCTCTTGATGTATTCACCTCTAATCTTTTTCTTGACTTCAGTGTGCTTGATGTTGTCAGCTTGAAGGATACCCAAGTATTTGTAGTACTCTTCCTCATCCAGACTCTTAATGTTATTTTCGTGGGGCATCTTGATTCCTTCAGTTTTCACTATTTTTCCTTGTTTGATAGTAAGTGTGGCACATTTGTCCAAGCCAAACTCCATTACAATATCTTGCTATATATACGGACAGTGTTGAGCAGCGATTCTATTTCAGATGATGTTTTTCCATACAGCTTCAGATCATCCATGTAAAGGAGGTGGGATAGTCTAGCAGATGTTTTTGATGTTTGATAGCCATGTCCTGAGTTATTCAGTATTGTTGACAGAGGAAACAGTGCAATAACAAATAGTAATGGTGATAATGAATCTCCTTGAAATATTCCTCTCTTGATATTAACCTCTCCCAGCTTCTCACCATTGATCTGCAACTGTGTCTTCCATTGTGCCATCGATCTTTGCACAAATTTTCTGATGTTTCTACTGACTCCTGTTATTTCTAGGCACTTTATTATCCAATCATGTGGCAGAGAGTCAAATGCCTTTTTGTAGTCAATCCATGCCACATTCAGGTTGGTCTTCCTTCTCTTGCAGTTTTCCAAGATCATTTTGTCTATTAGGAGTTGATCTTTTGTTCCTCTGCTATTGGGCGGTTTCCTTTCTGCTCAGGTGGAAAGAGATTGTTTTCAACTAGATGCTGTTGTACTGCATCAGCTACCACACCAGTTAGTAATTTGAAAGTTGTTGGTAAGCAGGTAATTGGCCTGTAGTTACCTGGTGTTGCCCCTTTTGCTGGATTTTTCATTATTAGGTAGGTTTTCCCAGTTGTTAGCCACTTTTCAATTTCTCCTCCTTGTAGTATATTGTTGAACTGTTTGGCAATGAGTGGGTGTATAACAGTTAGATGTTTCAACCAAAACCCATGCAGTTCATCTTCACCTGGTGCTGACCAATTTTTGATTTTCTTTGCTCTTTTTTCTACCATTTTTGTTGTTATTACTAGTTCTTTCATTTCAACTTCTGTTTTATTTGCATCCACCTCTTTTAACCAAGCCGCATCCTTGTTGTATTTCTTTGGGTTATCCCATATCTGCTTCCAGAACTGCACTGTTTCTTCCTTGTCAGGTACTGACTGATTCCTTGCAGTTTCTCCATTGATGGATTGGTAGAAACGTTTCTGATTGGATTGAAATTGGAGGTTCTGCCTATAGTTTGCAATTCGAGCTTCATATCTACTGATTTTCCTGGCTATAGCTGTTATTTGTTGCTTTATTATTTCCAGTGCTTCCTTGATCTTCCTTGTTTCTAAGTGGTATTTCTTGATTAGGTATTCTTTGGTCTTCTTGTTCTTCAGCTTCTTTTCTTTCATCTGTTCTAGCTTGCTTGCATGTGATCTTAACTTGCTGATCTTATTTTCTAGTCTAACCTTCCATTTTTCTGGTGCACTGTTTGTTTGTTTTTCTTCTTTGTTGATTTTGCATCCCAGGTATTCAGTTATAACTGCAGCTGTGCTGTACATTAGTTGGTTTGTTTCTTGCAGTGAATTGGTGCTTATACTTGCTATTGCAGTATTTGCATCTTTTAATGCTTGTGCTAGCTGTTTCTTTGGAACAAGCTTCAATGCAGGCAGCCTTATTCTGTTGTTTTTGTGCTGTTCTAGATGCTCAGTTATTCTTTGTTTCAATTCTTTTATTTCTTTAGTTAGAGGGTTTTGTTCTTCCTGAGGAAGAGGTGCCTGGTTTCCAAATGAGAACAGTTGTATATCTCTACTGGATTCTTTCACTGCCAACTCCCCCTGGTTTGCCTCTACATTCTGAATTACTTCTTGTAAGGCTTTGATTTCTTTGCCCTGGGTAAACCTTTGCAGTTCGTCCAATTCTGTTTCTGTAAATACTTTATTTCGTGTTATAAATCGGCGTTGATCTGCTAGTCTCTGTTCTGTTATTTCTGATTCTGGATGTTGTTCTTTCCAGAATTGGTGCATTCGTTTTAGATATCCTCGTCTTGTTGGACTTGATCTATAGTAACAGATCATTATTTCTTTGTTTTCCATCACTGTGTATCTGCGACGGGTAAATACCTTTTCTTCCAGTAGTTCTGCAGCTGCTGGCCCTGGTTGCTCAGCCAACAGTCCTGAGTCCTGTAACCCATTTTTCACCAGATATCCAGGAACTCCAATATCTAGTGCGGACCTTGTTAACCCGGGCGACGTCCGAGCCGGTATGGCATTCTGAAATTTACGTCTCACCATATTTTTTATGGGAGAGACACTCTTTGTCTGACTCCTCTGATGAGACCTGTCCAGTATGGTTGAACCTCTGGCATAGCTCTCATCTTCCTCAGAGTACACAAGCCCCACAACCACGTCAAGGTAGTGCCTCACTGGGGGTTATTATTATTATTATTATTATTATTATTATTATTATTATTATTATTATTATTATGGATCATCGCAAAGTCAGCCAGATTTCAGACTGGATTTGGCTTTTTGTGTACCTATCGAGTCCTTACCCAGGACCTGGGCTAGGCAGATGTGGATGTTTGATGGTATTACAAATATCGTCGCAAGATAGAAACTGTTCCCTATAATACTGCCTTTTGCAATTGACTAATGGCGAATTTGTCAATGCCGATGGTGTCCAAGTGGTGCTCCAGTTGTTTTGGGATTGCACCCAAGGCGCCTATTACTATTGGTACTACCCTTGCTTGCTTTTGCCACAGTCTTTGTATTTTGTTATCTTCTCCAGTTCTTTCTCGTCTATTCTGCTGTCTCCAGGCACTGCCACGTCCACTATCCAGACTTTTTTGTCTTTCTTATCTACAGTTGTTAAGTATGGGGTGTTATGTTGCAGGTGCTTGTCTGTTTGAATTCTGAAGTCCCAGAGCTGTTTAACTTTATCATTTTCTATGACTTTCTCTATTTTATGATCCTGCCAGTTCTTGCTTACAGGCAAATGATATTTCGTGCAGATATTCCAATGCACCATTGTTTCTACTTTGTCATGCCGCTGCTTGTAGTCAGTCTGTGCGATCTTTTTGCAGCAGCTTACCAGGTGATCCACTGTTTCTTTAGCTTCTTTGCATAGGCGGCACTTACTGTCTGTTGCTGTCTTCTCAATTTTGACTTTATATGCATTTGTCCTTAAGGCTTGGTCTTGTGCAGCCAGAATTAGTCCCTCGGTCTGTTTCTTCAATTTTCCTTATCTTAGCCATTGCCAGGTCTTGTTATTATCTGTTTTCCCAGCTATTTTTTTTAATGTACTGGCCATGTAGTGCTTTGTCTTCCCATGCCTCTATTCTGTTCTTCATTTGGTCTTTCTTGTAGGCCAGTTTGGTCTCTCCAGTAGTCAGTAAATCTTCCTGATATACTAATTTCAGTGCATTGTCATCACTGTCCTTCAGATATTCTTCCAAAGCCATTCTTCTTCAACCATCTGATGTACTTGCAGCATTCCACGCCCACCTATTTGCCTTGGTAGATAAAGTCTGTCAATGTCACTGGATGGATGAAGGGCATGATTCATTGTCATTATTTTTCTGGTCTTCCTATCCATTGCTTTTAGTTCTGCTTGAGTCTAGCCCACTATTCTAGCTGTGTATCTAATGACTGGAATTGCCCAGATGTTGATTGCCTTTATGGTATTTTCTCCATTGGTGGTGGTTGTTGTTGTTGTTGTTGTTATTATTATTATTATTAAGCCAGATTTACTTACAGTAAAACTGATCATAAAATTGGGTCCAGTCACATGATGATTTGCTTAGCAACTGCATTGCTTAGTGACTGAAATTCTGATCCCAATTGTGGTTGTAAGTTGAGAACTATCTGTAGAAGCAGTAGTCATCAGCAAGTTGTGGCTTAAATTTTGAGTGATTAAAATAAACTCTGAGCAATGCCAATTTTCCCCCTTGTTTTGCTTCTAATGGCATATTCATTACTTTCCCCTAAAAAAAGTGGAGAAATGAGGAAATGCTAATTAGAATTTATAAAACAAACTTCCAGCAAGGAAAACCTAATCCAAAGAGAACCTACTGGAATTCAATCTCTCACCATCCTGAACTCAAAATGATCAAACTTAAAGTGGCAAAAGGCATTCGCCTTCCACAACCTGTCAAACTGCTGAAGCTGCACTATGTTTCCACAAACCATTGAAAACAGGCTGTATATTGCACTAAAAAACACAGACACACTACTTTATGATGCTCATGAAAGCATTGCATAGCTTCAACTGTTTGTGGGCTCAAGGAAGGAGAATGTCATCTGCCATTTTGTATTACATCATGTTACCAGTTAGCCATCTGCTGTTTAAGTACTGTAACAAATCAGTTGTCTGCCATTTTGAAACAGGCAAGCCCATTAATATCTAGGGGTTGTCTTTAAAAGTCAGATGTTCTTAAACGGGGGGGGGGGAACTGTCTAAACTCAAGCCGATAAAATTCTAGCAGGAGACTACACAAGGTCTTTTGGAAGCTGTTGTGTGGAATTGTGCAACACTTTGCATGTCCTTCTATGAAAAACCTGTGCTGCAATCCTTCCTGAAACGTTGCTTGAGTGTTCAACCAACTCATTGCAAAACAGAAGGAAAGTTTTGGATTTCAATCCTTTTGTAATTCACAAAAGTCTTCAAAATTTTATTTGTTGGTCATCTGCCAAATCTGGGAATGAACTGTGTCAGATCATTCACAGCAAAACTTTAGAATAAAAAATGATGACATTGTACGGCATGCTCTGGATTCACTTGAACTAAGTCCTAAATCCATTTTATCATTTACAGTACTTATTTTCTCCCTTCTGTAGGAAACGAAAGCTTATAACGATCATGTCTCCTTCTGCTGGGCTCCAATTTAGTCTATACTTCCTACAAACAAAGAAAGTCCTGTGGAAGCTCACAGGTAAAGAAAAAGGTTGTGGTTTGTTTTTGCTCTATCAACACTTTCAGCTCACTTTTGTGCAAAAATAAACTCCAGTGTGCCCCTTTGATCATATAAGGCACACTTTTCTCCAGTCCGATCAAACATTCTTATTCCATTAGGTATGTTTGCTACCTTCAATTATATATATATGTATGTATGTATTTTTAGGTTGCTAACAAAGAATAAAGAGAGAACTGGTATAGCTATTTCGAGTTCCATTAACTCTCTTCAGCCAGACTTACTCTTCTGAGATTCGAACCTGGGCTTACCTGCATGTTAGGCAGTTGTTATAACCTCTAAGCCACAGGCTCTCTCCCACTCTGTTAGCTATCGGGAGAGAGACAGGGGGAGGATGTATGTATGTATGTATGTATGTATATAAAAAGTGGGATAAAAATATAAAGATAATGCCTTTATATGTAGCAAAACATTTTTTCTGTTTTGGTCATCACTGAGTCATATACTTTTTGTCATATTTTGTTCATGTATTAGCGAAGGCTTGATCCCTGTAGATTGCTGGGAGAGACACATCTATCTTAGGAAGGAAAAGGAAATACATCCCATTGTGTATTTATCAACCAGTCGGTCTTCTCTAAATCTCTTTTCCAAACAGAACAATACTATATATTTGGGTAACCAGGAAACAAAAGTCAGAACATTTCCAAGATGTGCAATATATTACAGATAATCCTGCCCATGACTGAGCCCACAATTTCAATTGTAAATCCTGATGGTCGTTAAGTGGATCGTCACATGACTATATTCAATTTTGCAAGCTTTTTTGCAGCAATCATAAGGTATATGTCAGGGGTAGGCAACCTTGGCTCTTTTATGACTCGTGGATTTCAACTCCCAGAATTCCTGAGCCAGCTATGCTGAGGGGAAAGGGAGAGGTTTCCAAGTTGAGCGTGCTGGCTCAGGAATTCTGGGAGTTGAAGCCCACGAGTCATAAAAGAGCCAAGGTTGCCTACCCCTGGTTTATGTGATGGTTTTAAAAGGAACCCCATGGCTGTTAACCAAATGCCACAGTGGTCAAGCAAATCCATTGTTTGTTAAGGGGAGGGTTGTTTTTTTTTTTTTTTTTGCTGGAACCTGGAAGTACATGCTGGTTTTTGTTAAAAATGCCATAAATTGTGGCCACGTGACCACGGGACATGGCAAAAGGTCATAAATTCAGCACTCAAAATGCACTCATATGACCATGGGCAGGATTGTGGATCTGAGCGGGGATATGGATCTCAATGCTGGAACTTCAAATCCATGTCGTAAGTAGCTTTTTCAGAATCCATGGCAAGTTGAGGACTATCCGCACACTACTTGTGACAACAAGGGCTAAATTACACCCAGTTTTTTCTGTCAGTCAAACTTTACCATCTATAAGACAATATAAACATGCCTTACAAATTCTTGCCTTTGTGCTCTGTCCACATTTAGGACTCTGTTACATACTCCTGTTCACACTATGCTTTTTTGCTGACCAGGAAAATGGTGGAAAAGCTCTAGCTTCACCCCCTGGGATATGGAAAAGAGGTAACAGCTGGGTTAAATAAGATTGGTGGGCGGGGGGGGGAGGGGGGAAAGGTAAGTATTGCCAGATTTTAAAGCATCTTAATTGAGAAGAAAGGTAGATGTCCTTCTCCAAGATCAGTTGGGTCAGGTGAACAATAATGCCAGACAATCTCATTGCAACTAAGTTGGATCTCTAGATATTCCCTGGCCTCCTTCATATGATCCAACAAGGGCATTCCTAACATCAGAGTCACTTGTTGAGATGGGCGGCTATAGAAATCAAATAAATCTCTATCATCTATCTATCTATCTATCTATCTATCTATCTATCTATCTATCTATCTATCCATCCATCCATCTATCTACCTATCTACCTATCTATCTATTGTGGAGGGAAGAGACAACAAAGTCATGTAAAATTTAACTAACAAACATTGGCTTTCCCTGCTTGCACCTGTCCCAGAAACATTTTTTTTTGTACTGTATTCCCATGATTTTGCTTTCATCCCCAGTAATCCATAAAAGAGGCAACTTTAAGTCCGCTTGAGCTGTGAGACGGCATTTTCCTTTATTCTGACACCATAAGCTGCCTAGAGCATGGGTCCCCAACCCCGGTCCATGGACCAATACCGGGCCACAGCCTGCTAGCAACTGGTCTGCACAAACAAGTGAAACCCCATCCGTGAGATGCAAGCAGCATGGGAAACCACGCCCCCTCTGGTGTGCGGAAAAACCTCTCTTCACGGAACCGGTCCCTGGTGCCCAAAAGGTTGGGGACCTCTGGCCTAGAGTCACATTGGCGAGATGGGTGGTATAGAAGTCTAATAATAAATAAACAGACTCAAATGTGGCCTTGAGATGCATAAGATCTGCTAGACCAGGGGTAGGCTCTTTTTTGACTTGTGGACTTCAACTCCCAGAATTCCTGAGCCAACCATGCTGAGGGGAAAGGGAGAGGTTTCCAAGCTGAGCCATGCTGGGTCAGGAATTCTGGGAGTTGAAGTCCACGAGTCATAAAAAAGCCAAGGTTGCCTACCCCTGTGCTAGGCTTTGACATAGAGCAGTGTTTCTCAACCTCTGCTAGTTGGAGGGCAAAATAGTTTCTTCAGTGACCCCAGAACTATAGGCAGCCAAAGTGCCCTTTTTGAGTGGTCAGAAGCTTTTTTAACAATGGTTCTTGAAAACCAACTGCCTCTAATCAACTACTTGTAAAAACCAAGGCTAGTGGTAAAAATGAACCATATTGGAGAACTGAAGATCACAGCATTTGTTGTGTCATAGCAATAACAATATTATATACCGCTTCACAGTGCTTTACAGCCCTCTCTAAGCAGTTACAGAGTCAGCATATTGCCTCCCCCAATGATCTGGGTCCTCATTTTACCGACCTCAGAAGGACGGAAGGCTGTGGGCTTGAGCCAGTGAGACTTGAACTCCAGGCTGTGGGCAGAGTTCACCTGCAATACTCGATTCTACCCACTACACCACCACAGCTCATATCACACATATATGTGTGTGTGAGACTAAACATACACTATTATACATTACACACTGTACATACATTATTCTGTAATTCGCGAGTGTGAGTTTTTGGGAGGCGAGTGTGGGGGATTTTGTGTTCTAAAAAGCCACAGTGCCCCTCTTACCGATCACTTAATTTCTGACTTGTTTTAGGGGAGCAGAGTTTTTCATTATCATTGGAAAAACGGTCAACCTTTATTGCACTATATCTCTCTATAAAGCACTATTTAAAAAATCTTGGGTTTATGAAGAACGCAGACATGGGAGATGAAGCAGGGATATTTGTGGCCTTTCTTAGCTCTCTAATTTGGGAGGGTGGGTGGGTAATAACGTGTTCAGTGATGTCGCCCACCCAGAATTTGATTTGCCTTCTGATGTTCTGTCTCTCTTCTTGCAGCTGATGTGACGTTTGACTCAAACACAGCATTCAGCTCACTGGTTGTGTCAGCAAACAAGAAGACTGTGAAAAATGTGGGTGTCCCCCAAGTTGTGCCAGACAATCCGGAGAGATTCAACAGCAGCCCCTGTGTGCTGGGGTCTCCTGGATTCCGATCAGGGAAACATTACTTTGAAGTGAAGTATGGCACACAAAGGGAATGGGCTGTTGGGATAGCTGGGAAGTCTGTGAAGAGAAAAGGAAATCTCATGCTTGTCCCTGAAGAACGGATTTGGCAAATGGGTCTCTGGTGGCTTCGGCACCTGGAAACTGATCCTGGCAGGGTTCACAGCACCTCTGGAAAGATTACTGTGTTTGTGGATTACAATGGGGGAAATGTGATTTTTGACCTTAATCATATCAACACTACCCTCAAGGCGAATTTCAATGGGGAGGAAGTTGTACCCTTTTTCTATTTAGGGGGCACTGTTTCACTCACAACTCTTTAAGAAGTTACAGTTCTTGATTAAAACAAGGACTTCTCTCTACGCAACCTTTGCAACGCCTGTTCAAGCTTTTAATAATCTTTGGCTTTGGGAGGATAATCATGTACAGGTAGGGCTGAACTTACAACCGTTGGTTTAGTGACCATTTAAGTTACAATGGAACTGGAAAAAAAACTTATGACCACTTTTCACGCTTATGACTATTGCAGTGTTCCCATGGTCACGTGATTAAAAAACAGTCCTTGGCAGCGGCCTCATATTTATGATGGTTGCAGTGCCCAGGGTCATGTGATCAGCTTTTGTGACCTTCTGAGAAGTAAAATCAATGGGGAAGCCAGATTCACTTAACAGCTGTATTACTAACTTAACAACTGCAGTGATTCACTTAACAAGTTGTGCCTGGAAAGATCATAAAATCAGACAAAACTCACTTAACAACTGCCTCACTTAATAACAGAAATTTGGGGTTCAGTTGTGGTTGTAAGTCAAGGACTACCTGTATCATATGTGAATGTCCCTCCCTGTCCCCAAATCGCCAACAACATTTAAATTCCAGGCTTGTGTTTGTCTCCATACGCTTTACACTTCTTTATATAAACAATGTAAATATTGCAGCCTTTTCCCCTTGCAGACATAAAGATTCCTTGAAGGGAATTATGTGAGGTCACATTAAAGGTTGTCCCAGTAATATACCAAATCTGTTTGATCATTTTGACAAAAGGAATTCTATATGTGACAGTACAATACTCCTAATAAAGTCTCAATTTTATTGCTTTCATCATTTAAATACGATTTGCTTCCAGTTTATGGTTACCCTCCAAAAACAAGCAAGCTTCTAGCTAGACTCTTACTAGTTTTGTATGTTTGTTGACCCAAGCCATTACCCAGGGCAATCAAAACATTTCATTACCCTAATAAGTCTGGAAATGAGCCTAAACCAGTGGTGGCGAAACTATGGCATGCATGCCAGAAGTGGCACGCAGAACCCTCTCTGTGGGCACATGCACCATCACCCCAGCCCCACCTCTCCCACGGCCCCCTCCTCACCAGCAGCCTCCCTGGAGGAGAGTCACCCCTGGGTGCGGCCCGCATAGAACAATGCAGCCAAGGACAGGGCAGCAGGGCAGCAGGGACAGGACTCCATCCTTGTGCCCCATCGCACGCAGATGATGTGGGGTGCAGATGGAGGGCATGGCCGCTATGGTGCTGCAGGGCCATCTGGGTGATCAGCTGCGGCAGGCCGTGGAGGCAGTAGGTGGGCCTTTGGACGGGCAGGGCGGGGTAGGCGGGGCAGGCATGGCAGGGGCAGAACGGGGCAGGCGGGCAGTTTTTGGGCACTCGGTGTCTAAAAGGTTCGCCATCACTGGCCTAAACAATATGCAGAGTAGCTTTGATTCCCCTTACAGAAGCCCAGTATTCTCCACAACCAAAGTGATTCTCCTTGATGAGACAAAGACAGAACCTAATTTACCTTGATAAGGTAGTTCATGTCACTTTACAGCCTCAACCATGTTATAAAATTACTCTGGGTAATTTCCAATTAGTTTGCACTAAGCACACTTCCAGTCCACCCTTATATCCAGATTAAAACAAACATACTGCTGAAGTTCAGGTAGCAAAAATATAGCTTGATGTTTGTCATCTTTGTGTTTGGAACAGTACAACCCTTATTGTCTAAGCAAGGGAAGCCTGATTGGGTTGAGTTTTCTTGGCAAGATTTCAGAAATGGTTTTACATTGCCTCCTTCATAAGGTTAAGAAAGAGGAATTGGTCCAAGATCACCCAACTGGCTTTGTTCCTAAGGCAGGACTAGGATTCACAGTCTCAGAGTTTCTGAAATTTTGCCAGAATTGGCAAAATGGAACTGAATAAAATTTTGAACACGATTGAATGAAATTTTGAAAAATAATCAAGCTAACAAATGAATCAGTTGATTAAATCTTAATATGATATTAGTCATATAGTGAGAATATATATATATATATATATATATATATATATATATATATATATATATATATATATAGGTCTTTGGTTGTTCGGGTTTTCTCCCGCGTAAAATTGGAAGTGTCTTGGCAACGTTTCGACGAAGTCACATTCGTCATCTTCAGGCTGGTGTTTTTAGCTTCTTGCTTTGAGCAGCAATGTGTGGTTTTAGCTGTTTCTTCCTTGTAACTGCCAGTGAGGGTATGAACTGATTGGATGGGAGCTTGGCTGTGTTCTGATTGGGTGGAGGTGTGTTCTGAATGGTTAGGGGCTTGGCTGTGCTCTGATTGGCTGGGGGAGTGTTCTGTTTGGTTGTGCTCAGGTTAGTCTGAGTTGCAGAGGGGTTTAAGATTTTGGGGTTAGGGAGTCGTTTGTCAATAAGGGCAGGTTTCCAAATGGCTGGTAGGCGGGAGGTATCATCTCGCTTGTTCATGCTGTGTGGGCGTTTTTCTATCTCGATGGCTTCTCTGATTATTCTGTTATTAAAATGTTCACTTTTGGCAATGGTTCTGGTATTTTTAAAGTCAATTTCATGTCCTGTGGCTTTAAGGTGTTGGACCAGGGAAGATGTTGGTTCCTCTTTTTTGACTGAGTTCTTATGTTCTTCAATGCGTGCACTTATTCTTCTGTTGGTTTGTCCGATGTATGTGGTGGGACAAGTGGTGCATGGGATTTCGTATACTCCTTGATTTTCTAATTCAATTTTATCTTTGGGGTTTCTAAGGATGGTGGATATTTTTCTGTTTGTGCAGAATGCTGTTTTGATGTTGTGTTTATGGAGGATCTTACTGATTCTGTCTGTGTGCCTTTTATGTATGGGAGGAGGGCTTTGCCGTTTTCTTGTTCTTTGTCTTGGATTTTAGTGGGGGTTTCTTTTTGGATTAGGTTTGTAATCTTATTTCTATGGAATCCATTGGATGTTAGTACATTGGTGAGAGTGTGTAGTTCGGGTTTTAGGTGTTGTTCGTCAGCTAAGCGTTTTGTTCTGGAGATGAGTGTCTTGGCTACAGAGTTGATCTGTGCTGGGTGGTGGTGTGAGAGAGCGTGCAGATAGCGGTTTGTGTGTGTTTTCTTCTGGTAGATGGTGTGTCCTAGGGAGCCATTGGATTTCTTGTAGACTAAGACATCCAGGAAGGGAAGTTGGTTGTTAGCTTCTGTTTCCATGGTGAACTGTATTTTGGGGTGTAGGCTGTTGAGGTGTGTGAGGAAGTTGTCCAGTTTTTCTTTCCCATGTGGCCAGATTATGAAGGTGTCGTCTACATATCTGAGCCAGAGTTTGGGTTTGTGATCCGATTTTTCTAGAGCTTGGGTTTCAAAGTGTTCCATGTAGAGGTTGGCAATGACAGGTGAGAGGGGTGATCCCATGGGTGCTCCTTCTGTTTGTTTGTATTTTTGTCCATTATAGATGAAGTATGTGTTGGATAGGCAGTGGTTGGTCAGATCTAAGATGTGTTTGGGGGGGGTTATATTTGTTTTGAATAGCTGTCAAGGCTTCTTTGATAGGCACTTGGGTGAAGAGGGATATGACATCGAAGCTCACTAGTAGGTCGCTGGGCTGTAAGCTTTGTTTCTTTATGATCTCTATAAACTGGAATGAGTTTTTTACGTGTGAGGTGATGGATTCTGCATAGGGCTGTAGTTGTTTGGCGAGAAATTTGGCTAGGTTTTGTAGAGGTGAGCCTATGGAGCTGACTATAGGTCTGAGTGGGGTTCCTTCTTTGTGTATCTTGGGGAGACCATAGAGTTTAGGGCATCTGGATGATTTCTTCCCTGGTCCAACACCTTAAAGCCACAGGACACGAAATTGACTTTAAAAATACCAGAACCATTGCCAAAAGTGAACATTTTAATAACAGAATAATCAGAGAAGCCATCGAGATAGAAAAACGCCCACACAGCATGAACAAGCGAGATGATACCTCCCGCCTACCAGCCATTTGGAAACCTGCCCTTATTGACAAACGACTCCCTAACCCCAAAATCTTAAACCCCTCTGCAACTCAGACTAACCTGAGCACAACCAAACAGAACACTCCCCCAGCCAATCAGAGCACAGCCAAGCCCCTAACCATTCAGAACACACCTCCACCCAATCAGAACACAGCCAAGCTCCCATCCAATCAGTTCATACCCTCACTGGCAGTTAAAAGGAAGAAACAGCTAAAACCACACATTGCTGCTCAAAGCAAGAAGCTAAAAACACCAGCCTGAAGATGACGAATGTGACTTCGTCGAAACGTTGCCAAGACACTTCCAATTTTACGCGGGAGAAAACCCGAACAACCAAAGACCTATATACAAATACCCGCGAAAACCTCAGAAAACATATATATATATATATATATATGCAGGAAGTTTTTCAGACAGATGTCTAATTGATTACACCTTGACATTTTTTAACTGCTATACTGCAGTTTTACTTTTCACAATCTCCATCTTAGTCTCCCAATTTAATTCTTTAATTCTTTGTCAGAAAAAGAAATTTGTATATATATATTTGTTTTCTGAGGTTTTCGCAGGTGTTTGTACGTAGGTCTTTGGTTATTCGGGCTTTCTCCCATGTAAAATTGAAAGTGTCTTGGCGACGTTTCGATGAAGTCCTGTTTGTCATCTTCAGGCTGCTGTTTTCAGCTTTGTGCTTCTAGGAGCAATGTGCTTCTAGGAGCATTGCTAGGAGCATTGCTCCTAGAGGCATGAAGCCGAAAACACCAGCCTGAAGATCACGAATGGCTTCGTTAATACGTCACCAAGACACTTTCAATTTTACGTGGGAGAAAACCCGAATAACCAAAGACCTTTTTCTTATATATATATATATATATATATATATAAAAGCATTTGAAGGATGGTGAAGATGAAGACAGAATGATGAGATCCTCAGGAAGAGAGTTGAGAAGTTCTTTTTTTAAAGGACAAGGAATGAATCCACATATCAACATGAGACAAGCAAGGATGGTTTGCAAGAATAGAAACATATGAAGAAGTATCATGAATTGTGTTGGCTTAAACTGGTTTCAGAAAGCCAGTTTGGTCTAGTGCAGGGGTCTTAAAACTCGGCCCTTTTATGACTTGTGGACTTCAACTCCCAGAATTCCTCAGCCAGGCATGCTGACTGAGGAATTCTGGGAGTTGAAGTCCATAAGTCATAAAAGGGCCAAGTTTGAAGACCCCTGGTCTAGTGGTTAAGGCACCAGACAAGAAACTAGGAGATCCTTGAGTTTAAGTTAACCTTAGGCGTGAACCCAGCTTGGTGATCTTGGGCCAGTTCTCTCTTACCCCTGGGAAATAGGAATATAAGGAAACAGGATAAGCCATTTCTAGAAATCTTGCCAAAAAAACTGCAGGGAGTAAACCAGGCAGTCACCAGCAATCAAGAATGACTTGAAGGGACAAATCAAAAACTAATTTTAGCTATGTTTCCTTTTCTTGCCTTAGACCAGGGGTAGGCAACCTTGGCTCTTTTATGACTGCTGGACTTCAACTCCCAGAATTCCTGAGCCAGCATAGCTCAGCTTGGAAACCTCTCCCTTTCCCCTCAGCCTGGCTGGCTCAGGAATTCTGGGAGTTGAAGTCCACCAGTCATAAAATAGCCAAGGTTGCCTATCCCTGCCTTAGACCTTTCATTTCTTTGTCTTACTATTGATCCTTTTCTGTGCTTTGGGCAACATTGCTTCTGCTGAAAGTGTGTAGCCTAATGGGTCTATACCTAGGGTGCAACCCTCCCTCCATGATTAACAGGAAAGCTTCGTGCTCTTCATTCGTTCACCTGATCAACTAAAAGCCATCACTTAAAAAGAAAAGCTTTCTCCTGTTATATACAGAAGCATATAGAGAAGAGTGTCCCGGTCTAAACTACTTTTTAATAGGATGAAAATGTGGGGGTGGGTGGGGAATGTTTATGAAAGGTGAGTTCTCAAGGATAGAAGCAAGCATTGTGATTGGTTGCTAGGAACAAAAGCCAGATGGAGTACTTCCATTGTGTCAGATTTTGCTAGACATATAGTTAAGGCACTAAGTACAAGATTCTGTCTCAGCAGAGGCTTGGCACAGAGTAACTGGCAGGCTGACAGGCACAAGTGCCATGAGAAAGATGATGACCCAGGAGGACATGATGCCCACAGGAATGCAGGCACCAGTTCCTGGAAGAAAGGAGTCCGTTCAAAGAAAGAAAGAAGCTGCTAATTTCACCACAAAGACTCTGATGGTAGCAAACTCAGTGCAAAATAAAAAAAGCTTGATTCCTTGGAAATCCATTGATTCCCTGCCCTGCATCTCAGGGCTTATTATTGAAGCAATTGCATCCTGTAAGTCACACAATGGCCTCACTTTTGCAGAGCTGAAGGAAGTGCTCGGCACAAAGGGATACGATGTGAGGAGGCACTATCCTAGAATCAAGAGGAAGCTACAGTCCTTGGTGTCTAAAGGTGCCCTGGTGCGCATGACAAGTGGCAATGGCTCAAGTTTTTTTGTAGTCAAAAAGTACCAGGAAAAGATCACCAAAATATCCAGAAACTTGGAGAAAGCCGCAAGGATAAAGAAGGCAGGGATGTCTGCTTCCGAAAAGGCAAGGGGAAAAACTGAAGAAGCAAAGAGTTTGAGCTGGAAGGCTGGAAAAATTAGAAGAAAGCCCAAGAGATCCCATCAGAAATTAAAGGCAGGACAAAAGCCCTCAAAGCGATCCATCAGCCAAAGCAAATCTGTTGAAAGAACACCAAATCTCTGTCCACGGGCCCTTTCTGCTGCTAAAAAATCAAGTTCTGGTGGTAGCAAAAGTAATTCTACTTCTCGAGAATCACACCACTCCAATCAAGGATCTGCTTCTGTTTTAAGGAGATCCAGCAGAAACTGCAAGAATACGGCTGCATCTATTTTTAAGACAGCCCAAAGTTCTCTCGACGAAAGAGCTCCTAAAAGATGCAGACCTTCAAAGAGAGGGCTTCCTCCTCCAGTAAAAGTGCAAGTCAGCCCATACTACAAGGACAACCTCCTTGCAAAGCAAAAAGCCCATTGTAGAAAGGTGAAGACCTACTCCGCTAAACGACGAAGCCGTCGCCGGATCAGAGCTGCATTTCACTCACCAAGGAGGATCTCATCCAATTCAGAAAAAGTCCTGAGAAGATAACAGAACTAAACCTCAAGGATGGAGGCCTTCAAAGTAGATGTCTTCCTTGTATCTATTAGAACCACAAAACATTCAATAAAGGTAACTAAGGCCTCAGGTTCCATTCATAATGGATGATTTCATAGCAATAGCAATAGCCCTTAGATTCACAGTGCTTTACAGCCCTCTCTAAGCTGATCCAGCATATCGCCCCCAACAATCTGGGTCCTCATTTTACTGACCTCAGAAGGACAGAAGGCTGAGTCAACCTTGAGCCGGTGAGACTAGAACTGCCAAATTGCTGGAAGCTGGCAGTCAATAGAATTAGCCTGCAGTACTGCATTCTAACCACTGAGTCACCACAGCTCTTATTTCATAAATACAAGCTAGGGTCTATAATTTGGGAGACATATAAAGTGGCCTACAAAAGTGTTTTAAAATCTGTATTTCATTTAGGAGCTTCTTAAAAGGAAATGTTAGCCTCTAGCTACTTGAATTCTTCTGTTCCATTTGGAATGTTTTGCTCTGCCATAGAGATGTGAATTCTCTCGGTAAATTACAATATTCCTGGCAGCCTTAAACCAAACCCACAGTTCTTGCACACCATCATCCACAAATACAATGATGTTGAATTTGCAGGCCCTTCAGTCATAGTGGCCAAATTCTGAGAATGCCAACCAATCACTCCTCACTCGTTGTCTTTCAACTTTGTTCCTGAATTTATAACCCTCCCTTCCAGAATTTCCACTGTTCTGAAAGGCAGAAATTTGTGCTATTCTGACAAGCCCCATGGAGTATTATCATCTCAACAAATTCTGCTTTTGTGACGAGCCTGAAAAATTGCAGTCATTCTGGGCAACCTACAGTGGAGATGGCAGCAGGAGGCAAGGGTTCCAGCAGAAACTGAAAACACTGAATAATGTTGGTGCCTCATGAATTTATTCTGTGGCAGAAGTGGGGGGCCGTTTTAAAGAGGAGGCATGGAAGCAGGTTCTTTTAGGGCAGTGTTTCCCAAATTTGACAATTTTAAGGCATGAGGACTTCAACTCCCAGAATTCCACAGCCAGCAATTTTAAGTCCTCATGCCTTAAAATTGTCAAGTTTGGGAAACACTGTTTTAGGGGGTCATTCAAATGTGTTGTCATTTGCCTTACCCTCAAATGTATGTGGGAGGCAGATGTGTACAGTTACAAATGCTGGGTAAAGTTGTTTGATAGGACATTGTTAGAAAAGCAAGTTACATATCTGCAAGCCAAAATCTTTGAAGTCAGCCCCTCAGAGTCACCCAGGAGAGCAGAAAAAATGGATCCTGTAACTATTTGTTCAGTGGGATGCTTCATGGGGAAAAACTGGATGGGACAAGGAAGCAGGAAAATTGGATCACGGGTGAGGGAAGATACAAGGAAAGATTCAGAAAAACCAAATGGACAAAAGAGAGAGAAAGAGAGAGAGAGAAAAGTCTGTATGTATTTGGGTATAGCCTGCTTGGTGGTTACATGTATATTGTGAGAAAAAAATCTTTAACAAAATAATGTATCTCAATGTGGAACAACACAGAAGATCCTAAATTTCACTGGGGAAAAATTCCTGACTGTGCTGCTGGAAAGAGATTTCATGAGTCAATATTTAACGGTGGTTTATTAAATAAATCATGGTTTCTTGGGTTTGAATAATACTAATTCATACACCCTGGTTTGTAGCTATAATGATTGAATACAATATGCTAAGCCAAGAGTAAACCACTTTTTGTTTACTAAGTCCAAACTGTTTTTATAATACATAATATAGCTGACTGAAGTGACAATCCTTTGTATCTCAACCTTTGCAACTTCCAGATGTGGACGCTTAACTCCCAGAATTTTTGTGGTACATTCATTTTCCTCTGTTCCTGGGAATGACTCAGATGAATAGATCTTGCTCAATAGGAACGGGGGATAAAAATGCTTTTCTGGTATAGGGCTTGTGAACTTATTTTGAATTAGATATCTATGGAGATTCTTAGTCATCCAGGTCGTGATTGTTCAATTTTGAGTCACAACTGAAGAAGCTTCTTGGATGAGAAGTGAATGTTTTCAAGGAAAACAAAGAAAGTCCAGTTGCCTTTTGAAAAAGCACCTTTGAGATTTTGAATTAGATAATGGATTTAAAAAATGGTATTTGTTCTGATGTGACATCACACCACCTTTATTCTGGTTTTAAACAAAAAGTTTGTTTTCTTTAGCCTCACTACTTTGCCTTGCTGCACAGCAAGTGTTTTGGGTATGACCAAATCTTCCATGGAAGGAGGAAAATTAATACAGAATTATTTGTTTTTAACCTTCGATATGGTAAACTGAGTAATTTACAGGATCTAATCTGGGTCGGTAACCAAGCCAGATTGGATCCTGCAATATTATCCTAGGACACGTATATCGCCTTCATTCGTTCAGTAATTTAAATTCTTCGTCTCTCAGAAACAGTAAATGGGGCTTGCTTCTTATTGGATAAAATAGCTTGCCCTTCAGAAGGCTTTAACCAATGACATTTAAGGAAGCTTTATTTTTTTTTTCATTGTGCCGTTAGTTGTAGAAAGGAGAGCTGTTTTGCCTGGAAGTGGTGAAAATTGGAGGGAAAAATGGGCGCGTAAAGTTGCCTCTTGAAGACAGCGTTGTAGTTTTTGTGGGACGGCGGGAGAAAACCAGTTCCGAAAAGGGACTGTACCAAGTGAATCGGAAGAGGAGCGCCAGGTTTTGAATTTAAGAGCCATCAGAGAAAGCAGCCCGGGACAAGAAAATTCGTCGAATAAACTACAACCTCCAGCTACGTGCAGATCTTCATTTTCCTGCTAGACCGGGAGCTCTCGCCGCCGCCCACATCGGACCTAAGCACCAAGCATGTCAACGCCAAAACGGCCCTGGGAGTTGGACGGCCTGGAAGTGTGACAAAATCAAATAATGCTTTGGCCAAGAGAGAGCGATGGCTTCGGGTTCTTTTTAGAGCCATGTTTCAATAACTGACGAGGGAACAATAAAGTTGCTTAATTATGGTTAGAAACCTGATTTGTGGGTTTTGATTAGTCATTTTCGCTTTCTGAATAGACAATAAAAAGCCGTCCTGCCAATCTGAAAGTGGATAGAATTTTATAGTGCCTGAGCAAATCGACTTTTGCCCATATTCCTTAGATTTGTGCCAATAGCGGCTCGCGTTTTATTTTGACATTTGTAAACTAAAATATTTTAAGCTGCATTATTGAGAATCGTTTCTCATAGTTAACCCTAGTTACATTCTTAGCTTCCATCTGCAAAAAGGTAACTTCAAAAGTTTTGAAACTAAATTTTACCATGTGTTAAAAGGGTTGCAAATTTTTAAACTTCGGACAGAAAAAGGAGTCACTAGGGATATTGGAATAAAGTGCCTCAAATATACCAATATTATTTTGTTCGCTCTCTAATCCATTTTCACTATTTCATAGTCTTCAGGGATCTAAACAAAGCAACCTATACTAAACATGAAAGACCCAAAAATAATGTGTTTTAGAGGAATAAAATATCCTGTTACCAAAATAATTTGAAATAAGAACTCTTGATTTAGAAAGAACAATGAAACCAAGTTATTTTCCCTTTGATATTGGATGAGAAAAATTTAACTTGACTACTCATTTTTTCCAACATTAATATTGTCATAAAAATAAGCTTTGCTGCTATATATATATATATATATATATATATATATATATATATATATAGGAAATAACCGTAATTGTCATTTGACACAAACTTCCTTTACATAATCAAATGCTATTATTTAAAAAAAAACCTCGATTTTTCCGAGTTACACTAATCTATTATTAACCCGAGACCATTCAAAAGGGGAGTCGTTTACTGGTACTCTGCAAAAGACCTGATCCGAAAATGCCACTAGCTCTTTCAGCGATTCCGGAGTGGCTCTTAAAAGAGCCTTTTGTATAGTTTTGTGTAGTTAGCAAAAACCGAGAACCTCGTTAACGAGCTTTCCCTGCAGGACGTTTGTTCACCTGACGTTTCCTTCCAGAGTTGGAAGGCTTACGACCCTGGAGACCTTTAGGTTTATGAACTGCCGGTTGTTTCTTTCGGGACTTTTTAGGCTCCCTTTTCCCCTTGGCCGTTTTGCCGGCTGCTTTTTTCGGCTTCGGTGGCTGATTCTTGCCGAACTTGAAGGAGCCAGAAACACCACTGCCGGTGACTCGGATCAGCACCCCATTGGAGACCAAATTGCGCAGCTCCCTTTTGAGGCGGAGGTTGTTCTTAGTCAGGTTATACCCAGCTTCGATCAGAGACTTTTTGAGAGCAGCCAGCGAGATACCTTTTCGGGAATTGCAGGCTTCTAAAACTTGAAGAATCAATTGCGAGAGAGAGCCCGAAACACGTTTCTTTTTCTCCGTCTCTTTCGTCGAAGTACTTGCGGTAGAAGTTTCAGCAGGAGCTCCCTGCCGCTTTTCGTGAACCATTCTCAGAGACACGAAATCACGCTAGGCACTGAAAGCCCGTACTGAAAACTGTTGGGCAGGAGATGTAAATATATACAGCCCTCCGTCTGACGTAACGGACATAGAACGCCGCTGCTCTTCTCTGTTTTCTGAGGTAACTGTTTCGCCGTAGGAGAGGACCTCGCAGAGTCAGTTTTCATTCAGGTCCACTTCTTCTCAGCATATCCAACAACCAATAGTTTTCATGCCGTCTTCAAAAATAGTGTTTGATACCATCGCTATTTGTTCGCTTGTTTTTGAAGGGTACGTGAGGTTTAGAAGTTTGCGGGTTCCACCGCCTCTTCTACTTCTTTTCTCTCCCAGATGTAATGAAAGAGGAGGCACGTCGCACTTAATATTCAGCCAGTTAGTTTACGTCACTATTGGACGGCTTAGAATTGTGACGGAACTTGAAAGGCAGACTCCTTCTGTCTCACTATGGAGAAAATAGGATAGTTTTTATAGTATTGTTCTCCGTATCGCAAATCTCATCCTCCTCCAATTTTTTCCTCAATGAGATTAATCTTGCAATGTAAAAGGACAATTTTCAAGAATAGTGAGTTGTATAGGGTTGTAATCTAACAGCTTAATATTATCTGTGTGTATTTAAGAGCATAATCCTCTGTACTTTACTGCAATCAGTGGAGCTTATTCTTAGGTAAATTAGCACTAAAATATTTTCTAATATTTCACACATTCTGCATAAATAGTAGAGAAGATCGCATGATATTGGACATACTTCTGCGTTTTAAAAACTGCATTTTATCCCACTTTCTACTGAGGACAACTTATACCACAGTTTGAGATGATCCAGAAAGTCAGATCCATTTTTGACAGGAAAACAAACATACTGTAAAGCAACTTAGCCTAACTTAGCCTTTTGTATGAACTCAGCTGCTGTTTTCTAATCAGAATTTTGACAATTACAGTTTATCCAGTAAACATGATTAAATCACAGATTAGCATAGGTTAATGAACTAGTTTAAAATCTTCTGCTCACAGGGAGAAGATAGACTAAAATATCCATATTCTGTATTTTATCAGTGATGCCAGTACTGCAGAAAAATTAATGGAGCAGTTTTTAACTTAAAGTTTTAATTTGCGTAGCCTCAAACTCAATAAACTATAAATATTAAGAAATATAAAATATCTAATATAACGTTTTAAACTGCCAAGATGACTAACACATTTTTTATTTGGTGCCTAAGAAAGTCTGATATCCGAGTTGCTACTACCAAGATATGTCTATGGAGATTCTCAGTCATCCAGGTTATGGTTGTCCCAAAGATGCTTTTTCAAGAGGCAACTGAACTTTCTTGTTTTTCCTTGAAAATGTTTTGTTTCTTATCCAAAAAGCTTCTTCAATTCTGACTACCAATATACTTCTCTCTTGTCCATGAATTGTTAATTGCGAAGTCGTGTCCGACCCATCGCGATCCCATGGACAACATTCCTCCAGGTCTTCCTGTCCTCTACCATCTTCTGGAGTCCATTTAAGCTCATGCCTACTGCTTCAGTGACTCCATCCAGCAACCCCTTCTTCTATTGCCCTCAATCTTTCCCAGCATTAGGCTCTTCTCCAGTGAGTCCTTCCTTCTCATTAGGTGCCAAAGTATTTGAGTTTCAACTTCAGGATTTGGCCTTCTAAAGAGCAGTCGGGTTTGATCTCTTCTAGGACTGACCGGTTTGAACGCCTTGCAGTCTAAGGGACTCGCAGGAGTCTTCTCCAGCACCATAGTTTTCCATGAATAGAACACATCTAATTAAACATGGGGTTTTTTTTTACAAAATGACATTGACAATGCCTAATTTTGAGAGAGCAGGCATTAATTCCATTCAATGCTATTAAATGACACTGACATAAAATAACTGCATAAAAATTACTCAGTCAATATTGAGTAAATATGCAAGAAATAAACGATATTTGAAAAGGGTAATTTGACATTTTTGAATAGCACAATTTTATTTCAGGCCTATAGAATAGGATAGGATAGGATAGGATAGGATAGGATAGGATAGGATAAGATAGGACAGGATAGGATAGAATAGAACAGAACCTTGGAGGTCTTCTAGTCCAGCCCCCCGCTCAAGCAGGAGAACCTATACTGTCTCAGACAAATGACTGTCCAGTCTCCTCTTAAAAACCTCCAGTGATGGAGAACCCACAATTTCTGGAAGCAAGCTGTTTCACTGGTTAATTGTCCTGTTAGGAACTTTCTCCTTAATTCCAGGTTGCTTCTCTCTTTGATCGGTTTCCAACCATTGTTTCTTGTCTTGCCCTCTGGTGCTTTGGAGAATAATTTGATCTCTTCTTTGTGGCAGCCTCCCAAATACTGCTATCATGTCACCCCTATTTCTTCTTTTCTTTAAACTAGCCAAACCCAAGTCCTGCAGCCGTTCTTGGATCATCTTAGTTGCTCTTTGAACTTTTCCCAAGCTCTCAACATCTTTTTTGTAGTATGGTGACCAAATTTGGTTGCAGTATTCCAGGTGTAGTCTCACTAGGATTTTATAAAGTGGTATTAATACTTTGCATGATTTTGATTCTATGCCTCTGTTTATACAGCCCAGGATTGTATTAGCTTTTTTGGCTGCTGCTGCACATTCCTGGTTCATAGTCAAGTGATTGTTCACTAGGACTCCAAGGTCCCTCTCACAGTTGCTATTTTTGAGCCAGGTCTCACCTAATATGTACTTATACCTTTGATTTTTTCCTGCCTAAATATAAAACTTCGCTTTTCTCCACATTAAAACTCATTTTGTTGGAAAGGGCCCATTGTTCAAGTTTGTCAAGATCTTTTTGAATCCTGAGCTTCTCTTCTGCGGTGATGGCTATTCCTGCCAGTTTAGTGTCATCTGCAAATTTGATGAGTTCCCCTTCTTGCTATTGTTTTTTTTTTATATTTCACCTCTCAGGATTTTTGTGAAAATAAGAAGTGAACAGCGTGCTATGTATATACATTGCTTTGAGTTGTAAAAAAATAAAAGTGTGGTAAAATAAATTATAAGCAAGGTTATAATTGTGTGTAACTCAACTCTTAGGAACCAAATAGTTTCCCTTGACTATACTTCAAAAACATTACAAAATAACAGAATAACAGAGTTGGAAGGGACTTTGGAGGTCTTCTAGTCCAACCCAGAAAACCCTATACCATTTCAGGCAAATGGGTGTCCAATCACTTTTTTAAAAAAAAACTTCCAGTGTTGGAGCATCCACAACTTCTGGAGGCAAGTTGTTTCACTGGTTAATTGTTCTGTCAAATGGCAACACTTTAAAATTTTACAAACAGCAGCACTTCAAATTTCTGCTGGAGAAATAATACCAGAACGTGGGGCGCCACCATAAGAAAGTCTGTCAGGTACCCATGCAATTTAATGACCTGAGACTAGATTGCAAATCTTTGAGCATTACTTCTGAACCAGCATGGATTAGATTTATAGAATATTTGAAGAGATGAACTTTTTGAGAAGCTTCTCTCTTTGCCCCAATGGAAAACTTTTCAAAATTAGCCCTCCTAAATGTTTGTCCCTGAACGAGGGCTGGGAGGACCAAACAGTAACATTTTCTGTAGCAGGAAATTTACCAACCTTCTGCTCACCAGTGACAATTACAGTATTTAATATAGACTTCTAGAGTTCTTATGGAGCGATCAAAATCTCGCCAGAGGCGGAGAAATCCTGCCGCAAACATCGCGATACGTGAGATTCTAGCGCGCTAATTGTCCGAATATTTCTGTAGTCTTTGTAGGAAATCAGCCGCTACCGGTTGATAAATCAAATATGCAGTCATGCACAGTTTTTTACTAATAATGAAATACTAGGGTTTTTTTTACTAATAATGAAGCATCTCTTAGAGATTGTTTTTATAAGTTTTCTAAGCTTAAATGCTCAGGCGATTTCTGGAGGCAGCCATATTGTACGGTCCCGGCAGCGGAGCGCGTGAAAAGAAACCATTTCCGCTTCCGGAAGACGCTGCTTCTTCCTTTCTCTCTTTAGGCCTGTGCGAGTTGGCAGGTCCGGGCGAAGGGCCTCCGCTGAATCCGACGCCATCCTCCGTCCGCCGCGGGAGCTCGAGCTCTCTCAGCCGCCGCCATGACGGAGCAGATGACCCTGCGTGGTACCCTAAAGGGCCACAACGGCTGGGTGACCCAGATCGCC